GACTAACTTCTGCCAAGGCAATGGGGTCATGTTGAGAATCACCTGATAATACTGAGCAATGACTCTCTGAGGCCACCCATTGACATCCTGCAAGGTTGCAAAAGATGTGAAGAAAACTTTCAATCAGATATTAAAACTTAGTAATTAATATGTGTTTCAATTAATCAATTAATTGATGAAGGCCATGCACCCATGCTCAGAGACACAAAGAACAAATGCATGCACACATGTTCAAACCCATGTCCTTGCAGTAAATGCACCCATTCTGAAATGGGATCCTGCTGAGTTTCACCTTAGCATTGCACCCAGGACAAGCAACATCAGGCTCTCCATGATAGCGAGGGTAGCTGATGATCCTCTCAGGGTTTGATCCCTGAGCAAAGATGTCATCCACTGAGGGAAAGCTTGGCCAACTGAGTTTGAGCTGAGCATGGCCACCTCTGATAGTATAATCCATGCCATCTGGGACTGAGTCAGTGGGCTTTGCCATGGCTCAGTTGTTGAGTTGCAGATGGCTGAGCTGGAAGGCAAAAAGTTGACTATGTGCTTGAGTTCACTAAGCAGCTGAGGAATCACACAAGCATGCATTCCTGCACAAATTTGAGCACAAGTCCAAGACCATGGGCAAGCTGAGAACCAACCCCACACCCCCAAAACCAACCCTGAGTCCTCTGTCAGCATTGCCACCCTTCTGATGCTTCTCCTTCTTCTTCTTCTCAGTGTACTCCCTCAGGACTTCAATGGAAGCCATTCTCTTCAAGGAATCTGAGCACTCTTTCATGAAACTCCTCAAGTGTCTCATCTGCCATGGCTCAGAAAGCTTCTTAAACTAGGAATTGAGCCCACACAAGCTGAGAAATGCACCCTTGCTGATGTGAACAGCAATTTTTCAAGGTGATACCTCATGATTGGCTCAGTTACTCAATAATATGAATGTTTGGATGGTACTCTATTGTGCCCAACAGCTTCTTGGTGTTGAAAAAAATCAAAAACCATTTCTCCACCTTTCTCTGAGTAAAGCTGGTCCATTTACTTTATAATATTTGTGTTAAAGCTTTAAAATGCAAGGTTTTCCAAATAATTAGATGCCTTATTAAACCCTTATTAAAAAACAGCACTCAGACAATTTTTCAAGGTGGTACCTCATGAGTGGCTCAGTTACTCAATAATATAATTGTTTGGATGGTACTCTATTGTGAGCACCAACTTTTGGGGGTGAAAAAAAAACTTTCTCCACCTTTCTTTGGGTAAAGCTGGTCCTTTCACTTTAGAAAACCATATTTGTGTTCAAGCTTTAAAATGCAAGGTTTCCCAAATAATCAGATGCCTTATTAAACCCTTATTAAAAAACAGCACCCAAACAATTTTTCAAGGGGATACCTCATGATTGGCTCAGTTACTCAATAATATAATTGTTTGGATGGTACTCTATTGTGAGCACCAACTTTTGGGAGTGAAAAAAAAGCAAAACCCTTTCTCCATCTTTCTTTGGGTAAAGCTGATCCTTTCACTTTAGAAAGCCATATTTGTGTTAAAACTTTAAAATGCAAGGCTTTCCAAATAATTAGATACCTGAAAAAACCATAATTGGCTCAGTTACTCAATAATATAATTGTTTGGATGGTACTCTATTGTGAGCACCAACTTGTGGGAGTGAAAAAAAACAAAACCCTTTCTCCACCTTTCTTTGAGTAAATCTGGTGCCTTTACTTCAGAAAGCTATATTTGTGTTAAAGCTTTAAAATGCAAGGTTTTCCAAATAATTAGATGCCTTATTAAACCCTTATTAAAAAAACAGCACCCAGACAATTTTTCAAGGGGATACCTCATGATTGGCTCAGTTACTCAATAATATAATTGTTTGGATGGTACTCTATTGTGAGCACCAACTTGTGGGAGTTAAAAAAAACAAAACCCTTTCTCCACCTTTCTTTGAAAATCTGGTGCCTTTGAAAGCTATATTTGTGTTAAAGCTTTAAAATGCAAGGTAAATAATGATACCTGAAAAAACCATAATTGGCTCAGTTACTCAATAATATAATTGTTTGGATGGTACTCTATTGTGAGCACCAACTTTTGGGGGTGAAAGCAAACCCCTTTCTCCACCTTTCTTTGGGTAAAACTTTAGAAAGCTAAAAAACCCTTTCTCCACCTTTCTTTGTTTGGAGTAAAGCACCAACTTGTGGGAGTGAAAAAAACTTTCTCCACCTTTCTTTGAGTAAATCTGGTGCCTTTACTTCAGAAAGCTATATTTGTGTTAAAGCTTTAAAATGCAAGGTTTTGCAAATAATTAGATGCCTTATTAAACCCTTATTAAAAAACAGCACCCAGACAATTTTTCAAGGGGATACCTCATGATTGGCTCAGTTACTCAATAATATAATTGTTTGGATGGTACTCTATTGTGAGCACCAACTTTTGGGGGTGAAAAAAAAAACCTTTCTCCACCTTTCTTTGGGTAAAGCTGGTGCCTTTACTTTAGAAAGCTATATTTGTGTTAAAACTTTAAAATGCAAGGTTTTCCAAATAATTAGATGCCTTATTAAACCCTTATTAAAAAACAGCACTCAGACAATTTTTCAAGGGGATAACTCATGATTGGCTCAGTTACTCAATAATATAATTGTTTGGATGGTACTCTATTGTGAGCACCAACTTGTGGGAGTTAAAAAAACACAAAACCCTTTCTCCACCTTTCTTTGGGTAAAGCTGATGCCTTTACTTTAGAAAGCCATATTTGTGTTAAAACTTTAAAATGCAAGGTTTTCCAAATAATTAGATACCTGAAAAAACCATAATTGGCTCAGTTACTCAATAATATAATTGTTTGGATGGTACTCTATTGTGAGCACCAACTTTTGGGGGTGAAAAAAAACAGCAAACCCCTTTCTCCACCTTTCTTTGGGTAAAGCTGGTGCCTTTACTTTAGAAAGCTATATTTGTGTTAAAACTTTAGAATGCAAGGATTTCCAAATAATTAGATACCTGAAAAAACCATAATTTTTCTCAGTGCACCAACTTGTGGGAGTGAAAAAAAAAAACAGATGCCTTTACTTAGAAAGCCCTTAAATTAAAAAACAGCACCCAGACAATTTTTCAAGGGTATACCTCATGATTGGCTCAGTTACTCAATAATATAATTGTTTGGATGGTACTCTATTGTGAGCACCAACTTTTGGGAGTGAAAAAAAAACATTTCTCCACCTTTCTTTGGGTAAAGCTGGTCCTTTTACTTTAGAAAGCCATATTTATGTTAAAGCTTTAAAATGCAAGGTTTTCCAAATAATTAGATGCCTTATTAAACCCTTATTAAAAAACAGCACTCAGACAATTTTTCAAGGGGATACCTCATGATTGGCTCAGTTACTCAATAATATAATTGTTTGGATGGTACTCTATTGTGAGCACCAACTTTTGGGAGTGAAAAAAAAGCAAAACCCTTTCTCCACCTTTCTTTGGGTAAAGCTGGCCCTTTCACTTTAGAAAGCCATAGTTGTGTTAAAATTTTAAAATGCAAGGTTTCCCAAATAATCAGATGCCTTATTAAACCCTTATTAAAAAACAGCACTCAGACAATTTTTCAAGGGGGTACCTCATGAGTGGCTCAGTTACTCAATAATATAATTGTTTGGATGGTACTCTATTGTGAGCACCAACTTTTGGGAGTGAAAAAAAAATAAAAATAAATTAAAAGTAAAAGTGAAAACAATTGAAAGTAAATTGAAAGTGAATTAAAAGTAAATTGAAATCAATTGAGAGTAAATTGAAATCAATTGAAAGTAAATTAAAAGTAAATTGAAATCAATTGAAAGTAAATTAAAAGTAAATTGAAATCAATTGAAAGTAAATTGAAATCAATTGAAAGTAAATTGAAAAGTAAATTGAAATCAATTGAAAAATTGAAATCAATTGAAAGTAAATTAAAAGTAAATTGAAATCAATTGAAAGTAAATTGAAAATTGAAAGTAAATTAAAAGTAAATTGAAATCAATTGAAAGTAAATTGAAATCAATTGAAAGTAAATTGAAATCAATTGAAAGTAAATTGAAATCAATTGAAAGTAAATTAAAAGTAAATTGAAATCAATTGAAAGTAAATTGAAATCAATTGAAATCAATTGAAAGTAAATTGAAATCAATTGAAAGTAAATTGAAATCAATTGAAAGTAAATTGAAATCAATTGAAATCAATTGAAAGTAAATTGAAATCAATTGAAAATAAATTGAAATCAATTGAAAGTAAATTGAAATCCTTTCTTAAGTTGATTGACCAAAAAAATGTTGAGGGGGGGCAAAAAAAAGTGCGAGTTATAGAGTATCCTCAAATTGTTTGGGGGGGGGGGGGGCCCCCTCACACTAATCAGAGGCACACATTAAAACTGATTTGGTCGAGCCTGCATTCTGAAAGGTCCCTGTAGTGTTCTACGCCAATGTCGCGGAACAGAACAGTCATGACGAGTATAAACAGAAATGGGGAGAGTGGGCATCCCTGACGTATGCCGGCACCTTGGGATTTAGCATGCGACAGAATTTTTTTTCGTGTTTCACTTGGAAGGAAAGGTCCGTGTAAAAGCTTGCATGTCTGAATTTTCTTGGTAAGTTCAACCTCTCCAAGGCCTGCATCATCCGGGGGTGTGAGATCCGGTCGAAGGCTTGCTTCCAGTCTAACATGCATATCACGATATTGTCCCCAGATCGTTCTCCCAAATCTTGTAACCGTCTGGCTATGAATAACGCGTCCGTGGTGGAACAGTTTTTCCTGAACCCGAATTGGGTATTACAAATGTATGGGTCAATGGCGTCAGAAAGCCTCTGTCGAATGATCTCAGCAAAGACCTTATAAATAGCATTCAACAGAGAGATGGGTCTATAATTAGCAATGTTTTCAGTGTCTCCTTTTTTAAAAAATAGATACAACTTGGGCATTTAAGAATCTGATGAGATAGCTTCCTTGGACCACCACCCATTCAATACGGAAAGGAGAGCTGTTCTGTTTTTTTA